TTCATGTTTGCTAATTAAGTTCTTAATTTCTAATGCCATAATATTTCTATCATTAAACTGCTGCAGAGAGCAAATAGCAGCTTTACTATCAGTGTTTACAATAATGATGGAGCCGGTCAGTCGGGTTGAGATGATCCATCTCACTGATTGAAGTATGGCAAAAAGTTCGGCTTGGTGCACAGTGCACCGGTCATCAAGTCTGAATTTGTCATGATATATTTCTTTTTCATTTTGCATGACCAGGTAAGAGGCTCCCACCTGGTTCTCAACCTTCGATCCGTCAGTGAAGATTTCCATTTCTCCACTCTCCTCTTCTTCTGCCATTACAATGGCCTTGCGATTATATGTTCTTGGTAGTATAATTGCAGTTGGTTGACATTCATAATCTGTTTCACTGAGAGAAGTCCCATTTAGTATGATATTGTGACCTCTTCTGCACATGTATGTTTTTGCCTTTTCTTGTGCAACTAGGTCAATTGGCGTTGTTCCCGCTATTACCATAAGTGCTTCGGTAGAATTTGTACGGTAAGCTCTCGTAATTCTTAGCAGTGCTGTTCTCTGTTTTGTTGGGTTGTTATGCTGGGGCCGTATTCTGGTCACTGTCTCTGGTCTCTCATCTCTCGCAAACCGGTCGCTGATTGGCTAATCCAAATGATTAGCCAATCAGCGATCGGCTTGCGAGAGACCAGAGACCAGAGACAGTGATCAGAATATGGTCCCAGGTTTCCTTATCGCTTAACATTAGAAATGCAAAAATGGTTTAATGTTTTTGTTAAATATTTAATCTTGGGGTCGATAAGAAGGCAAATATTCTATAAAGGGGTCGACAGGAAAAAAGTTTGGGGACCCCTAATTTAAACATAGTTGAATAAATAGTGACTTGGATTTATTATTTATATTAGATAATAAATAAAACGAAGGAAACCATGGAATCGAGTATATATTATGTGAGATTTTCAGAGTAAAGTTCTTTTCTCGTATCAGACTGTACGTACTTATGATTTTCGCAAAACGATATCGTCAGGAAAAATCAATATTAGAAAACAAGCATATGTCTATCATGTGTCTACATATGTGCAAGATGTAACCAGTTCCTAGAATTGGTAGGCCGCAGGTTGTACAGTACATGTGGTTATTTTAAATATTTATTCATAGTTTTGTCGGTTATCACGTTGGAGATTCACATCCTCCCTACAAACTACAAGATTTAAATTGCTTCAGATTGAACCTGAGAAATAGATCACCATATTCATGTTTTTAGGTCAAGAGGTAACAGCAAAAGCTATATCAGGGGAACCTCAGTTTTGTTTTCCCAGAAAATACCTAATATATAAAAGCTGAGAACGTTTAAATGTAACTTTTGGTTTATTAAAACGCTTCTTTTAACTTGATATTCCATAAGTACCTCACTTACAATTGAGCCATTCACGAACCAAATCGATTAACTCCACATTTTAAATTTTCTTTTTAATTTTAGTGTGAGAGCACTTGATATATTTGTCACTTTTTATATTCATAATAAGTTTTCTTAATAATAAGGATTAATACTTCTTAATTAATGATAAAATTTTATCAGCCATCGACAAAATTTTTATTTATTTCAGATGCCAATCTAATTAACTTCATACAGTAACGTTAATCACCCGCGAACATTGCGATTACAATGCTGCAGTGTGCACTGATCGGTGCTTTGTAGATAACTGTAAATTATTTAATGTTATCTCATCACAAAAAGTAAGCAAAAAAAATTAGTTGATTACAGTTCAACAGCTGCAGAAGTAAGTATACTTGTGGAATATTGAACGATTGTTTTAATTTTGATGACAATTTTTTTTAAAAAAAGAAAACTTATCTCCGTCATATCGAGTAGATAAAACTAAAAAAATATATTTTTTTTTCATTTCTCTTGATAAATATGATTCTTATAAAAATTTAAGAACAAATCGACATGATGAAACCTCAAATATAGCTGACAAAGAAGACATCATTTATGTTGCTGAATAATCAATTTAAACAAAATAATAGAGGAGAAGGTGGTATTATGGAACCCCAATTACATTTTAGTGAATTGTAAACACGGTATCATAACTACACCCACATTTTTTGTGCGAGAAGTACTGGTAACTATTAAACTAAATGTTCTTAATTGGATTTTTCGTTAGTGTAACTATAAGTATGGTTTTTGAAGGCTTTTTTACAAAAAGTCAGAAAATAGGCTTAGAGAAAATCGGGTGGTAATATGGAACTTTACTGTATATTTTCAAAAAATGCTTTAATGTAGCCAAAAACAAATAGGAAAGTACAAAAAATGTTAAATAATTACAAAATTATTTACTCCAATGTATTTTATCGCAAAAATGCTTTTATAATAGAAAAATATGACCTCCATCAACAATATATATTCCAGCAGCTCTTTTTCGATATTCTCAGGAAGAATTGGCTTTCTACCTAGTGTCTTTTTCACAAATTGCTCTGGAGGAATGTCTGCTTGCAAATAGAAAGTTCGGAGGAGTTGAGTTCCATATTACTGTAAAAGCACCAATGGGGTCCGTATTTCACGCATCGCCATCTCGAATTAACTTATGTCTGTCGAGACCAAAATTTAAAAAACGTGAACATCACACAGATTAATATGTACCCCTAAGTCTCTGGAACGGAATACATGCACCAGTGAACCTACAACTACACGATTTATATTTTAAAAATAATTAAATTCACTTAGCATTCAAAACTTGCGAATTTTGAAAAAAAACAAAAAAACAAATTTGCTGATTAAATACGGACAACTGTTTAACTGAAGTAAAACGAGATGTAGATGTCTGCCTAGTTCAGTTCAGCCACATTCTGCTACAGTTCACCTTTATTAGAGAGGTTGAGGCGCACGTTTTAAACGTGTAAACGTGTACGTGTGACGTTCGGCGCCGCTTTCCCGTAAGCCTAAAAGATTGACAATGGTGTTTGAATAGTCGGTGGAATCACGCTCGACATTCCAAACACCATCGTCAAACTTTTAGGCTTACGGGAAAGCGGCGCCGAACGTCACACGTACACGTTTACACGTTTAAAACGTGCTCCTCAACCTTTCTATTATCAGTTCGAAATGGGGTGGTTCCATAATACCCGCAGTGTTCCATAATAACACCTTCTCCTTTAATAATAGCAACCATTGTAACAGTAACAGAATAGTTATTATTCATTTTTGCGAAAAATCTTTAATAAAAAATGTACGCTGATGTAAAAAGTGAATTTGATATTACTATGTTTTTCACTTGCCAAATCGATTATCTCCATCAGTCAC